TTGTTAGAGTATTGAAAGGCAACATGTAAGTGTATTGCTGTGAGTTTACAACGACTTTGTGTGATGTGACTTCGGTGCGCAGCCTCCCGTGATGGCCCAGCACTTTGTCGCCGGGTTCATGCTCAGTACGTTCACCATTGTCAGCCAAGCCAGCGCGAACATCAAGATCCCCACCATCCACATGCCCATACGTTTGCTAACGCCTCCTTGGCGACGAAGCGCTTGAGTAGCAGCTCTCTGGTTCGGCAGTAGCGGCAAAAACAAGAGCGACACCATCTTCATACCGTAGCAGATCCAGATCGTAATGGTGACATCTCGACGAGTCTCGTACGTGTCGGCTAGAATGTCGTCCTTCCAAACGTGGAAGCGAGCGTTAATAAATTTGGCAGTAGTGCGTCCAAATGGCGAGGAAACGTGGTTGGCAGTCGTCAACAGCCCAAATAACGCGCCTTCCGAGCCTCTTTCAATGAGTTCAACCACAATATAGTTGTTAACTATGAAGCGCACTGCGTGAGGAACGTCTCCGATGACCGGGACGGTCAGCCAGAACCACTGGCTGCGAACTACATTCCACGTGACAAGTATCGTCATCATACCGTCCGTCACAACACCGAATATGACCGTAGCGGCGATAGCAACGTGCCAGTTCCAATGTAGACCACGCTGCGCCATCACCGCCAGAGTGCCAGCATACACAAACGTGCCAACAATGGCCATAATGCTAGCGTTAAACGGTGTGGCGTGGACCCAGTACAGCTTGATGTTACTCGAAGACACGATGTTGAAGCTGTTGAAAACACCGGAGAAGAATTTGTATGCAGCCACTTGGTATACTGCTCGCTTTTGTAAAATCCCCCAGAAGTTCGACATGTATGCGCTGAACTTGGGTGGCTCCACTTGGTCTTCATACACGAGGAACCAGGCAGCAGGTCCAAGCGGGAGACACAGACAACCCAGGATGAACATCATCTCTGGGAATGTGAGCGAGAAGTCGAAAGAACCGCCATATTCGATGCCGTTGAACGCGACTGCTACCACAAGAGCTCCCAGTGCATTGAATCCCATACGAACACTGTGGATCCACGACTGAACGCGCCCACGAACATGCACCGGTTCACGTTGTGCGTATTCGATCACCACAGCGTCGGCAGGTACCTCTACAAGTAAATACCCGAACGACGCCATCATCATTGGGATGACGTATTTGCCCGCAGCGTCGGGGGCGTCCGGGTTGATACTCTGACGCTGAGCCTCCGTCCATTGATCGGGACTGATGGAGTGCATGGTTGGGTCTCCGTAATACGGAGCAGCCTCAGGAAAGCTTGCAATCATGAAAAGCATGCAGCAACATACCAGCCATCCCAACAGCATGTAGGGTCGACGTCGAAAGCCTCCGAGCGGGAAGCAGTCGCTTAGGATGCCAAGGAACATCTTGTACGACCAGGGGAGCTGTACCAGAACCGTGGCAGATACGACGATCGTTCCTTCAGCATTGAGGTATCCCTGTAACACTGGATAAATGACCGCAGGGAGGACGCCATTGACGAATCCAATTCCAGCGTATTGCATCAGTAACGCCAACACCTCCGGAGAAAGCAGTCTAGGGGGTGGTCCATCTCTCAGCACGTCGTCTTCGAGGTCTTTGGGCGTTGTGGGTGCCGATGGAACTGCGCCATAGTTGATCGGGTCGATCTCCTCTTGCAGTACGAGTTGCTGGTGTTCGTCCGAAGCTCCCATGCTGTCACAAGAGAAACGCTAACTGTCGTCGGATAAAATAACTTTGTGAGCACCACGTCCACATCCTCAGCCGCAAGACCGCTAAGAGCTGCTCCTCTTCATGTACCTACCTAAACTGCTCTCTCTAGTTGTACTGCAGCGTGAGTTTCTCTCCGACGGCGAACGGAGCAGTGGGAAATGGTGTCCTGGTGAATCAAGAGCCGTGATCGTACAGCCAGTGGATTAAATTAATCGCTAGCGATTTGCCTGCATTCGCCGTCGGAGCTCATCTCGAAAATGGACAAGTTGTCGACTGCCGAGCTCATCGCCGCCTTTGTCCGACGGTAACGCTGCCGCAACTTGCGGCGCAATGTTCGAGTCCCGCAGCGGTGCTCGAGGCTAGAAGTTACCAGTGGCAAGCAACGTTCATGCCAGCGTGGCACAGTTTTGGTGCTGGACCACCCATTCCAGCCCGAATTTCAGGATCAGCAAACAGCTTTTGTTTGACAAACACATTCAAGTTTGTCCGAAGACGCAGATCGCTGATCACTTTTACCGGCAACCCGGGTCTAGCGTCTTGTAGACGGTACCGCTACAAAGGATATCCTATCCTGCAAGGATGTGACCCACCACCAGGATTCCTCGTGGTTTGCCACAAACCGTTTGCGGCAAACTCTGTCGGAATCGAATCCTAGCTCATTACACAATTGTCCGGCTTCAAGACAACGCTCGCCTGGTCTCAAAAAAATGACGTTGACAGACGACACTGTCAAGGCGGTGCTGGAAGACCGACCCAGTCGGCTATCCGATCTCAAACCCACACAAAGTGAGACCGCATACTCGAATCTGGCATCTCCGGGCAAACCTGGCAACATTGAGCTCGAGAATGGAGCCCTCCGCGAGGGAAAGCCACTCCAGTTACTATCCAAGGAGTGCATCGGACTGCTGGCTCAGTACGCAGGTGTTGGTTTCCTGGCCGGTGTCATTCCTGGTGTCATTTACCCCGTTCTTCAGGGATACCTTAACGCTGAAGGAACCATCGTAGTCTCCGCTACTGTATTGGTACAGATTCCTTGGTGCTACAAGATGTTCTTCGGTGTCATCAGTGACTGCTTCCCTATCATGGGCTACCGTCGTCGTCCATACATGGTCATCGGTTGGGTGTTCTGCGTCACTATTCTCATCATTATGGCGGCGATGTCGATCCCTGACCCGTACTACGGCGATCCCGCGATGCACAGTATTGATGAAGTAGACTGGACTGATGATCAGATTGATAGTATTAACGCAAACGCCCCGAATTCTGCTGGCAAATACGTTGTGCCCATGATGCTCGCATCATTTGGCTATCTATTGTGTGAGGTTGCCGCTGATGCCATGGTTGTCGAGTACGCACAACGTGAGCCTATTGAGCAACGTGGTCGCGTACAGACGGCTGTGTATGCAGTTAAGACGTCGTTCACTGCCGTCGGTGCCGCTGTCATTGCGTTCTTCATGAACGGAGAGGAATACGCCGGTAGCTTTGACTTCTCACTCACATTTCAACAGCTCATGTTGATCTCGGGCATTATCTGCGCTCCTCTGGTGTTCGTCTCATGGTTCTTGCTTCACGAAGACCGCGTCAAAGATAAACCGACATTTGGAGAGTACATGTCATCATTTTGGGGTATGCTTCAGCAGCGCGCTATCTACCAAATCGTGGCGTACAAGTTCTTCTCTGGAGTCTTCAACAGTTTCAACATCGTGTCTTCAAGTAACATTAAGTTGTACTGGGTGCACGCTACGCCGTTCAACAACAGTGTCATGACTATCGTCGGTACCATTTTCTACGCTACGACACTTGCTCTTACGGGCAAATATGGTCTAGACTGGAACTGGCGCTATATCATCATCATTACTATGTGCGGAGCTCTATCGATCGATGCCTTTATGACGATGCTTACGGTCTGGGATGTTGTTCGCAACCAGTGGTTCTGGCTCGGTGTCCCTGTTATTGAGTACCTGCCCGATGGTATCCGCTTTATGATTGCTACCTACGTTGTCGTCGAGCTGGCTGAGGCTGGCCACGAAGGTGCTCTATACGGTCTACTGACCGCTACGACGAACTTGACGACCCCGTTCGGTCGTTCCATGGCTAAGCTTGTCAATGCTCAGTTCCACGTGTGGCTCAAGGATATCCAGGCTGACACGTACGTTGTGCGTCGTGACGTAACCATCACGATTTGGATCTGTTACGGTATGAAGCTGCTGTCGTTGGCGTTCCTGCCTCTGCTTCCTCGTCAGAAGGCAGAGACACAGGAGTTGAAACGCACGGGCGGATCTAGCCGAATTATGGGTATCATCACGGTTGGTTACCTCGCCTTTGCGATCGTCTGGGCAACTTTGGTGAACTTGCTGTCCATGTACGAGACCACAATGTGCTGGAAAATTACCGGTGGATGTGCTCCGTCGTCTTAAGTAAGGCAAAGTCCATCGTAGGCATGATCTAATATATAGTGTGAAAGGCCTATCATGTCAATATCCTACTAGCATCAGTGTGCCCGTAAGAAACGAATGCTAGTGTCGAGATACCAGCAACCGGGAATCCCATCCCCAACCCAAGTTTGGAAGTGAAGTGGGGGAGATGTGTGACGTGTGAGACTTCATGTATACTTCCAGCTTCAACATGGTCAGCCGGAAAGCCATCTAAAATACAAAACAAAGCGATGCGCACTCCGGATACTGAATTTAAATCCAGTACAACGGTATACGTTCCGGTTCGACAAATGGAATGGAGACCGTGGAAGGACGAGAAGTTGAAAAATCTCGCTGCATGCACAAGACGAACGAAAGCGACATTGAGAAGAGGTCTCTCTCTCTCTCTCTCTCTCTCTCTCTCTACATTGCCTTGACCTTCTCTTGCAGCGCCAATTGGCGGTAGAACTCTTTGATTTGCAGCCTTTCGAATCACGAGCACCAGTGGGTTACTTACCGAAACCAACATGAAGTTCCGCTTGCCTCCTGGCACGTTCCCCGAGCTGGATCTGGCCAAGGAAGACATGGACAACATGGAGAACGTGGCCGCGATGATCGTCGATGCAGCAATTGAAGACTTTGAACAACTCCGACTAGACAACAACGGTTTTGCCGACAAGCGGTGGAAGCCTATCAAGCGCAAGGCTGGCGTCGTGCTGTACGAGGACCGGTCAATGCGCGAGAGCATTAAGAGAGAGTCGTCGCTGTCAGAAATGCCTCAGCCATGCGGTATCCACCCACTTATGGCACACGGAACCACGAGGGGTGAGCTGAACGAGCTCATGTTTGGGTTGCTGAACCCAACCCGAGAGGAGATGTTGGCCAAGTCCGCGTGTACTGGAGACTATTTAACAGATTGTGCCGAGCTGGCGTCAATCATTTCACCGACACCGAGTAACCCGTTAAGATCGTTGCAAGTCAAGTGGTCGCTCATTGGCAGGGGACCGATGTTCGTTAGCGTCGTGATTCGCCCACGGGATTTCGTGTATCTGGAGTCGACAGGGATTGCACTTGACAGTCATGGACAACACGTCGGATACAATCTGCGTCATTCCGTTGAAGTGCCGGGTGTACGCGAGCTCCACGAGCATCAAATTGTGCGCGCGAACATCTCGTTCTGTAGACTATTTCGTCAGAAACGTGAAGGTTTCATAGAGGTTTTTATGACGGGATGCGTCGATGCAATGGGCTATCGGTACCCGATATACACGAGCATCATTATGACCCAGATCACTGATGCGCTATTGTCGTTTCAACGACTTCTTCTCAATGCAAGGATGAAGAAGCTGGCGTGGATGTTGAACAATAAGAGGCAGACGAGGGATCCCATTAAAAAGCCCACGAACGAGTGCAGTTCTTGTGGTGGCAACCTGGGAAGTGTGATCTTGTACGGACGAAGGGAATGCAAGATCTGCAGCAACGTAGTGTGTCCGCATTGCCGCGTGCCGCTGAAAGTCGCCTGGAAGCCTCGCGACGACCCAAATATGTTCACGATTGAGAGGAAAACAGCAGCCAAAACGCGGTTTGAGAAGGCGTTGGTGTGTCGTCCTTGTCTCCGGAAAGCGGAGCGGACAGACGCTCTGGACGTGGCCATCGACGAGATCCGACGCGCATCACCTCTGCTGGCAGTTGAGTCCGGTCTCGCGGTAACTTCTGCGTCGTCGCTCTTCTCGCTCATCAACTCGGACCAGTTCGACCGCGACTGCTTCTTCCACTCGTACCAATAGCATCTACTTTATCCATGGAGCTGCCCTCATTAACATACGAGGTTTCTTATCCACGTCGTTTCCAACCCACTTCAATCACGTCGGCATCTCGCTGAGGAATCGACGTGAAGTTGTTCAACCAATCAGCACCCGCCATTCCCGTTTTGAAGCGTCGTAAGATCTCACTTCGGATTTTGCTGTGTAAGGCTCAAGTTAAGTTTTGTCCGAAATGTTTGCTGGTCGTCGCAGTCTCTTGACCATGGGCGCTAGCTCCTCTCGCTCTCTCTCGACTGCCGCAACCAAGCGCGTGGTGGTTGTGGACGGCGTGCGCTTGCCCTTCGCCAAGTCCGGCACTGTCTACAAGGACGTGATCGCCTACGACATGATGCGCGACGCCTTCAAGGGACTTATTAACAAGACAGCCATTGACCCTAAGAGCATCGACTACGTACTGGCCGGTACGGTGATTCAGGAGGTCGGAACGTCCAACATCGCGCGTGAGGCGGCGTTGGGAGCTGGCGTCCCTAAGCACGTGCCGGCACACACGGTCACCCAGGCCTGTATCTCATCCAGCCAGGCCATCTGCACGGGCGCGGAGAAGATCCTCTCGGGTCACGCTGACATCGTGTTGGCTGGAGGCGTCGAGACCTTCTCGGACGTGCCTATCCGCTTCTCGAAGCCCATCCGAGAGAGACTTATTAATGCCCCCAAGGTCATGAAGAAAGGCCCTTTGGCAGCGCTGAAGCTGCTTCAAGGACTGAAGTTCTCAGACCTCGCCCCAGTCGCTCCTGCCATCCAGAACTTCCACACAAGAGAGATCATGGGCTCTTCGAGTGACCGTCTGGCCACCAGATTCGGTGTCACAAGGCAGGAGATGGATCAGTATACTATCGACGCCCACCAGAAGGCCTACAGAGCCCATGTGGAGGGCAAATATAAAGGAGAAATCCTGCCGTACAAGGGCAGCACCGAAGAGAATGGAGTGAACCCCGATTCGACGCTCGAGAAGATCTCGACACTGAAACCTGCTTTCATTAAGCCGCATGGCACCCACACGGCCGCTAACTCGTCCTTCTTGACAGACGGCGCGGCTGCTACGTTGATCATGTCGGAGGAGAAGGCGTTGGATCTTGGATACACGCCCAAATCGGTGCTCAAGGACTGGCTTTTCGTTGGCGTGGATCCGTTCGAGTCTTTGCTGCTGGGCCCCGCTCACGGTATTAAGCGGATTTTGGAGCAGAACAAGTTGAAGTTGAGCGACATCGACTACTTCGAAATCCACGAGGCGTTTGCTGGACAAGTGCTGGCCAATCTGAACGCGTTGGCTGAGCCCAAATACTGCAAGGAGCTGTTCGGAATCGACCAAGCTGTCGGACGTGTGCCGTCGGAGAAGCTGAACACGTGGGGCGGGTCCCTATCGCTCGGACACCCGTTCGGTGCGACGGGTAGCCGATTAGTGAACACAGCTTCAAACAAACTGCAGAAGGAAGGTGGCAAGTACGCTCTTCTGGCGGCCTGCGCAGACAGCGGACTTGCTTATGTCGGCTTGATCGAGAACTACAAGAAGTAGGTTGCCAGCGCAGAAGAAATGCCTGCACGATGTAAACAGCTTCCTGCAGCTTGTACTTTAACGAATAAATACAAGTTGGTGACAATGGAGAGAGTATGCGTTTTGAAGAGATATATGATTGCAAGGTATCTATAGTAATAACGGCAATTAGACGAGCAGCACGGCGTTGATGCAGCCATCGTTCTCGGGCACGTTCGTGATCTGGGCGTACTTGCCCCACACGACTTTACCGGACGTGGTTACCAAGCCGAGTTCGCTCACGTTCACCTCGATGATAGTACCCTTGGTCATAACGCCAAGCTGAGTGTACAGCGGGCTCTGCGGGTTTTTCTTGACACCAAGAATGTCCAGCTGGAAGGTGGTCTTGAGCTCCGGGTGCGTGACATGGGCCTTCTTGAAGCGCATGGCACTGGGGCGGATGAATCGCTCGTACTTTGGAGGCTTGCGCGTGAAGTTCTCGCCGACGAACGTGGCCTTCGTGATCATACGCTTCCACGCCTTGTTGCGGCGCTTGCCCGAGCGCAGCACCTTGAACATCTCGTCATCGGCAATAGGCTTGACCTTGGGGATCGGTACATCCCACTTGCCAGCCTTCTCCTTTCGTTTCTGCTTAACGGTGTTGCTCAGCACCTTAGCGCGCGAGACGCCCTCACGGTCCAGCAGATACGAAGGCACGGCGCCGTCCGGGATCTCGTCGTCGTTAGCGTGCTTGTTCGTACGCTCGTTATGCAGTGCCAGCGTCTTCTTCATCGCGGCCTTCTCCTTGAAGCGCTTCTGGTTGTACAGCTTGGCGCGCAAGCCGTGTACCTTCTGGGCAAACTGTGAGCGGCGGTGTACCTCACGCGCCTCTTTCTTGCGCTTCTTCTCGGCGGCATCCATGCGCACGCCGTGGCGCTTGCGGTGCATCTCCATATGCTCATGCTGGGGCATCTTGGCTGACTGTTCACGCGGCTGCTAAGGTTCTCTAACTACTGTACGTTCTCTTCCTTGCTGCCTCGTGGGTCCGTTCGGAGCTGAACGTCGTGCGCTGCTCGTCGGAATTTGCAAGACTGGTCACGGCCAGTCAAACAGATCGTACTTTAGAGAGGGAATTACAGAATGCGATTTTCTTCGGGCGACATTCAAACGACATTATATCTGAGTCTGATGCGTGTAGCAGTAAGGTGTCATTCCTCGAGCTGCTTGGTGTACGACAACGTCTGACCATGTTGCGCAAGGTGGCACAGCGCGCGGTACAGACCCGAGCGATCTATGGTCGGTTCTTCGCTTCGAGATCCAAGTCGACCTTCGCCATAGCGGACAACAGCGAGCCGTTTAACCCCTTCGAAGTGGAGCCTGGTTGCCTGCAGCCTGGTGCGTGACTAGTCACGAGATCCTTTGGCCCCGGAGACGATATACTAACGTTAATCGATTTGTTTTCATTGGTATAATCAGGTCTGCCAGCCACAGAGTTCCAGGAGCGACGGAAGAAACTATTCGCGTCAATGCCCGACAACTCGGCGCTAATCGCAAACGCGGCCGAAGTTAAGTACATGACGCACGACATCCCGTGGGAGTTCCACCAGAACAGCAACTTCATGTACCTCACAGGACTAGAGGAACCCGACGCCCACGCGGTGCTGCTCAAGAGTCAGAATAAGTGTTCGTTCGTGCTCTTCGTGCGTCCTCGAGATCCGCACAGGTGTGTCATGAACGGCATAAACTAAGGGATTATTATTTACGAGACTGATCACGTTGCTTGTGTGACACAGTGAGCAATGGGACGGTGCCCGTGTTGGTCTGGATGGAGCGAAAGACACGTATCTGGCGGATGATGCCTTCCAGCTGACGGATCTGTCTCCAGCCATGCACAAGCTGCTCTCTAGCGTGGACAAGGTCTTCGTACTAAAGCCTGACGGAGGTAGATACTCGCCGACCTTTGTGGAGGCGACAAAGACGTTCCACAGCAAGTTCTTTGCCGGTGACTTCCTGGTTGAACAGCTTCGTGTGGTCAAGTCGGAGAATGAACTCAACCGCATGCGGTTTGCCGCTGACATCGGTGCACAGGGATTCATTGACATGATGAAAAACACGCGGCCTGGGATGTCAGAACTAGCGTTGGGATCGACTTTTGAGGGATCTATCAAGAAGAATGGTGCGCTGTGGAACGCGTTCCCGAATGTGGTGGGATCGGGAGCGAATGCCGCGGTGGTTCACTATTTGTCGAAGCGAGATTTGCTCCGCGAGAACGACTTGGTGCTAGTTGACTCAGGATGTGAGGTTGGTGGTGGGTATGCTAGCGATATCACGCGCACGTGGCCTGTGGGTGGGAAGCTGTCGTCGGGACAGGAAATGATGTATGAGTTTGTGCTGGATGTCCAGAAGAAATGTCTCGAGCATTTGAGAACCATGATCGAGAACAAGGAGCCTATCACCTTGAACGAGTTGCATGATTATTCTGTGGATATCATGATGAAGCGCATGCTGGAGTTGGGAATCCTGAAGAACAAAAGTGGACCGTTCTCTCGCTCTGCTATTCGCGAGTTCCAGAAGTACAATCCGACACACATTGGCCACTATTTGGGCATGGATACACACGATACGCCACACGTTACGCGCAGTGCGCCGTTGGTTCCAGGCATGGTGGTGACTGTGGAGCCGGGTATTTACTTACCGAAGAACGACTTTGACTTGCCTGAGGAATTCCGTGGCATCGGTATTCGCATTGAAGATGATGTTGTGGTACGTTATTATGGTTGTGAGTCATAATTGCGTTGTTCACGTAATAACATTGCCATTGTGTGTGTGACTATCTTCTAGATTACTGATTCCGGTATTGAGATTACAACAACTAAGGTGCCCAAAGAGCTGGACGCGATGGAGGCATTGCGCTATGAGTAGAGGTCTGATCTTCAGAGCTAATTTGAGAGCTAGACTATTAAACATCGATGAGCCTGGCCCCAAGCTTTTTTTTATCATGACCCCCTCGGCCCGTCGTAAAATCTCGAGACGGGATGATAGCTTTTTTTTGTTGGCTGTTTGTTAGCAGCGAGTAGTTGAGATTCGGCGAGATAGTGGCCAAAAGACTGTTTAAATGAACGACATCGATGCCCATGAGATAGAAAAGGAGAATTGCACATGAATGTAACCAACAGTGTGTGAATATCACACTGACCTCTCGTTGCATTACATTACTTTGTTAATGTTCTAGCCTTTTCATGCCATTCAACAGTCAGGATCCGACTTGCTCCATTCCCGTAATACATTGTAGTAGTGCTCGTTGAAATCCTCATACTTGTGCCTAAAGACGTGAATAAAAGCAGGTAAATGCTATGCCACCGACACGACATCTTGATCACGTACCGGAGTTGGGCGATTGTTGTTGCCCGTTCAATCCGCGACAAACTGTATAGCATATCCACCTTTCCTTTCGGTACAGTTGCTGCATCGACCTTCGAGATATCCACAGCATGAGTCATATACGATGCTAATGTAGCCGGCCACCCAGTTGCAAGATAAAACTATACCTGGTTGCTCTGAGTTGATTCAGCCGAGGAGCTGTCGCGCGCTGTATCTGGTACACCTTCTAGCTGCGCACGGCCGCGCTTGTGAGAGCGAACTCGACTACGTTGACGTTGCTCACTTTCTGGTTCCGGCAGAGCAATGGAAGGTTGAGTTTGTGGTGGACGAACAGAAGCTACTTCATCAACGCGTATTCTCGTCACATTGGACGGTAATGCGCTTGAAGTCTCCGCAGTAGACTTGGCCTTCACGACCACACAGCGCAGTCGCGAGTCATCCTTCTCTAGCGGCGCCAGAATCAAGAGACGCCCGTCCACAAGTATAACCACTCCAGCCTGGTAACCCAGCACCATACGCCATCGCAGGTTAATATCTTCTTCCTCAACAACAAATCTTTTGTAACCATCTTACCCGCTGCCGGTCTTTCAAGTATTTGGCAAACTTCTTGAACGGAACAATGTCTCCATGCGTCGCTGGCACAACAACCGTCTGTGGAGGCTACATACAATAATAAAATCATTGTACCTGTTAAATATCTGCTCACATACATACACCAACAGACGTCACTCTAACGTTGTATTACATGCTGCCTGCAACAAGCAATGAGTTTGTCCAGCTCGGCGTAGTCCATGCGCTTGACCACGTCCACCGCATCGAGTCTACGACGCAGGATATATCCACAGTGTCAGAAACTTCCTATATCTCTTCCAGTATTTCACTAATTAAAGCGTTAGCCGTGTCACTTCACAACTTCACTGCTGAAAATCAACTGTCCCGGTATCACAAGCATCAATTTGCGCGTCTTATTCCGCCTATTTACCTAATTCTCCACTGCTAACAACTTACCGGAGCGCTTCCAACTCATTGAGACTCACCGTTGGATACGGCTGTGACGGCGCTGAGTCCGTAGAGGACACACAATCGAATAGGTACTTGGACGACTTGTACACGGTGAACGCTACCATTGTTGTCAACTATGATGAGGGTACGCCTCGTATGTAACCAAAAACGTACCCTTACCATTTTTTTCAGCCAATCGTATGCTCTCCCGCGATAAAGTACGTCAGTATTGAACTTGGAGGGAAGATGGCACCGGTGCCGCGCATCCAGCGCCTCAGCCCGGACGTGGTGAACCGCATTGCAGCAGGAGAAGTGGTGCACCGACCTGCTAATGCAGTGAAGGAATTGCTGGAGAATTCACTGGACGCAGGGGCTACGCATGTGGCGGTTACAGTGAGCCAAGGAGGTCTGAAGCTTCTGCAGATCCAAGACAACGGACGAGGAATCCAGCGCCAAGACCTGGAGATCGTCTGTGAACGCTTTACCACCAGCAAACTCAAGAGCTTCGAGGATCTGAAGGATATCAAGAGTTTCGGCTTCCGAGGTGAAGCTCTCGCCAGTATCTCGCACGTAGCTCATGTAACCATCACGTCCCGGACGGCAGATCAGCCTTGTGCTTACAAGTAAGACGAGAGGTAATGCGTACAATGTTATAGTTGATATGCTGACCTAATTGGGTGGTGTGTGGGTGTAGAGCTTCGTATCGTGACGGAAAGTTGGTGGCAAAGAGACCCGGCGAGTCCAAGGATCCCAAACCATGTGCTGGAAAGAACGGCACGCAGATTGTGGTGCGTTTGGAGAGAATCTAGTTATTGCGTTTGGGAGTAATTAAAAATGTATACTTGGTAGGTGGAGGATCTGTTTTACAACTTGAGTACGAGGAAGCAGGCGCTGAAAAATGCTTCAGAGCAGTATGGTCGGATCTTAGATGTGGTTCAGAAGTATGCTGTGCACTTTGGTGCGAAAGGAGTGGGGTTTGTATGCAAAAAGGTAAAAGTGTTGCTGTTGCATACGCTCCTTTTACTTTTGTTCTGACAGATCGTGGTTGTTGTCCAGCATCGTGAGTCGTCTTGTGGTGTCAATACGACTCAGAGCTCCTCGCAGCTTGATGCGATTCGCACCATCTATGGCAGCAAGCTTGCAAGCGAGCTGACTCCATTCGAGCACATTAGAGACGCCACGGCTGCAGGATCGATGGACCTGCAGCGACAAGTTCGCGGATACATCAGCAACGCCAACTACCAGTACGTTCTGTCATTGATTCGTCAACTTTGGGATGGTGTGTGTTAACCTGACTGACATTTTGCATTGCGCTGCAGCCTGAAGAAAAGCAATTTCATTCTCTTTATCAACGACCGCCTTGTTGAGTGTCCATCACTCAAGCGGGCCTGCGAGTACGTGTACTCGCTGTATTTGCCTAAGAACACACACCCGTTTATCTATCTGAGCATGGACCTCCCACCTCGCAACATTGATGTTAACGTCCACCCGACAAAACGAGAGGTACGTACGTCATCTACTCACGAGATTTAGCGATCATTTTATTAACCATATTTTACTTAGGTACACTTCCTACATGAGGAAGATATCGTCGACTCGATCAGCCAAGCAATCGAGAAGCGGCTGAAAGGTAGCAATGAAAGTCGAAGCTTCTCAGTCCAGCCGATCACCGCAATGTTGGGAGCATCCAATGGTGACGCATCGGCAAAGCAGCGCAGACGTGAAAGTGTCATGGAAGAGGAAAAGGAGCAAGAAGAAGCAGAATCAAGTGATGAGGACATGAACAAGCGAGAGAGTGAGAGTGAAGATGAAGCCGACCGATCCGCCGACTCGATCGAGATTGATCTAAGCCAAAAACCGACTCCCCCGTCTAAAAAGTACCAGCCGGCACTGGTATGTTCTTGTTGCAATCATCATCCAGTCTGATCTTGAGTTCGCTGTTCATTGCTCTACTAATGTAATGCAACAGGCACCACAGCGTTTAGTACGAACAGACCATCGCTCGAACACGATAGACAAGTTCTTTTTCCTCGAGTCTCAAAGAACACAGTTATCTCAACTGTCACAACCAAGTTCTCAAGATACTGCAGAAGAGGATACTATTCCAGATAGATCATCAAAGCAACTTGACTCAGTGGAAAGCGATTTCAGTGCGGCGACGTCAAACGTTCCTCGTAAGAGAAAACTGTCGATGCTTCAATCCAGTCAAGGTGCGAACTTGCCAATTGCAGCGTGTGCATTTGAATTTCTAACTAACGTAACGTTTTCACTTTGTATTATAACATATAGAGCCTGAACCAGAAGACGAAGATGACCGCCGCGGAAGCCTGGAAGCTACTCAGAGTCCGCAGATGCTATCGAGTGTGCAGAACTTGCTGAGCTTGATGCGACAGAAGAAGAACAAGGCGCTGGCACGGGTGAGAATGACCAAGCTGTTTACGTTCCTACCTTAGCATTAGTTCTTACTTCTTTCTTACGTGCCAGCTTTTCCGCGAGCACAGCTTCGTGGGTGTCGTTGACAAGCAGTTTTCATTGGTGCAGTACCGCACGAAACTGTACGTTGCTCGACACGACGAAATCGCCTTTCACGTGTTCTACCAGCAGGTCCTGCTGCAGTTCGGTGAGACGCGGCCAATTACGCTCCAGACCCCGTTTCCGATTTACGATCTGGTGCTAGAGGCGCTCAAGAATCCCCGAAATGGCTACGACGAAGAGGACGGCCCCAGAGAGCAACTCGCAGATGAGATCAAGACTCTACTAATCGCCAACGGCCCCATGTTGTTTGAGTATTTTTCGCTCGATATCAACTCGCAGGGCATGTTACGAACCGTGCCACAGCTGCTACCAGACCACGAACCATCGATCCATTCACTACCAGAGTTCGTCTTCCAGCTCGCCACCGAAGTTAATTGGGAGGAAGAGGAGCCGTGCTTCGAGAGTGTTGCCCATGTTCTTGCTCGCTGGTACGGTGAGATGCGGTACCCAGGCAACCCCGAGCGCGAAGCCTTGGTGTTGGAGCATGTCCTGTTCCCTGCAAGCAAAGCTGCAACGTTCTGTCCGCCCAATGAACTCAACGATACTCAACTCATCACACCCGTAGCCTGCCTCACCAACCTCTACAAGATCTTCGAGCGCTGTTGACTCAAGTTGCCCAGCCCATGCGCAACCCAGAAATGTATGCAGCGCGAAAGATACTATATTGACTTGATGTAATGCCAGCCACAACAAGTGCCCGATGGTGGAGTGTCCCTAGCATTTTACACGTCAAGTCTCAAGTGGCTCCATTCCCTTGTGCAAGTACAGTTCCGTTCGTGTCACCAGCTGGACAGGATAATAATTAAACCGACGTAATCATTTCCATACATTAAATTTGCTTAAATTAAGTCGAGGTCTCTCCCAAAGAAACTCAACTCGACGAAATACCAGCGAGACGGCGCTTGGCGCGTCACCAGGTGCTTCCCCCTTGCGCTCCCTCACTCCCCTTTGGCTACGAGAGCGATGAACGGCAACAAGACGCACTCGGTGCACTTCGACCCGTCGGTGCGCGCAGACCCGGACAGTGGGCGCTCCACGGCGTCGACGACCGCTTCTTTCTCCGCGATCCCTAACAATAATGCGGCCGCCCCAGTCTCCGCCGCTCCCCCCGCTAAGCGCAATAGTGTCGTACGTAAGATCATGCTACAAACAATCGGCGAGCAGTTCGAGGACACGACGTTACCCGCCGTGCAGAGCTTCGTGGCCAGTGTGGAGAGCTACTGTGCCAGTACCGAGAGCTTGGCCAGTCTAGGTAAGTCACTGTACACGTCACCCGCCTTGGTGTTCGTAGTGGATGAGGTTATGCGCGTCATTCTATGGAATGACTGTGCTGTCAAGCTCTGCGGCTATTCGAGAGAGGAGATGGCAGGGCGTAACCTGCTCAAGGAGCTGCCGTACCTCGTACCCCCTGCTACAGCTAAAGTGCTAGGTGATGCATTGGCTCATTGTGTCAGAGGATCACCCGTGGCTAGTGTGATGCTGGAACTCATTGCCAGAGATCAGACCAAGGTTACGTTGCTCGGATCATGTACCCCACTGGTGGGTAACCCAGTGGGAGCGGGTATGCTCGTGGTGGCGCAAGACCTGACCCACTTGCCATTCGCTATGGTGGACAAGAAAGCGCTAGCCGAGACACCAGCAGTGCTCGATCAGACACAAGGAACTCGTACGTCTGCTGTGTTGGTAGATAAATGATTATTTTTATTTATCATTTTTTTTTTAATGATTTATAGCATCAGAGACGCAAGAGGTTGCTGCGATGAACGCAGTGCCTCCTGCACAGGTCGCAGTGCATAATGCAGCTCCGGTTCCAGCTCCAGTTCCTGCTGCAGTGACGTCGAACGCGTCGACGATCCCTGGATGGAGCGAGATTGCGCCGCATTACTCGATTGAGTGTGTCCTAGGGCAGGGAAGTTATGGCCAAGTGGTGCGTTGCAAGCACCTGCCGACGGGAGAGATTGTGGCAATTAAGAAGATTCAGAACGTGTTCTCAGACCCGATTGACGCCAAGCGGATCCTCCGTGAACTGTGCATCCTGCGCCAACTGCGACATCCAAACATTGTGCAGATTCGTGAGATTATCGCGCCGCTCGACATGGACCACTTTCAAGACCTATTCGTCGTGTTCGAGTACTTGCCGTCCGATCTGGAGAAGCTGCTCCATTCGCCACAATTCCTCACGGCCGAGCACTTGCGGTGGTTACTGTTGGATCTACTAAAGGCACTGAAGTACATGCACTCAGCGGAGATCGTGCATCGCGACTTGAAGCCAGCCAATGTTTTATTGAACCTGTCACCTGTAGCAATCAAGATCTGCGACTTTGGATTGGCGCGTGGACTTTCGTCGTCAGCGTCCACTACAGGACGTAAGCGTAAGAGGTTGGGCGATGGCTCTACCCCAGATGAGAGCACATTACAAGGTGTGGGGGTACACCCACGTACACCTGCTCGTCGAATCCAGCGCCAATTGACAGAGCACGTGGTTACACGCTGGTATCGTGCACCCGAGATTATTTTCCGTGATCACGACTACTCTGCTGCTATCGACGTGTGGTCGGTATGTTATCCCAGTGCTTTTATGAGGACTATTTTATGGCACTAATTTATGGCTGTTTTGTATGTGATTCTAGGTCGGATGTATCTTTGCTGAGCTACTGAGTATGCAGAAGAGCAGCGTGCCGTCACACTACCAGCGCGAGCCACTATTCCCCGGCGTCTCATGTTTTCCTCTGAGTCCTGGGGCTGGTCAGGTAGCGCTGCCGCAAGATAGCCGGGACCAGTTGAACACGATCCTGGACGTTCTCGGTACGATGGAGGAGGAAGATATCGCAGAAATTGCAGACCCAGACGTGCAGTTCTACTTGCGCAGCTTGCCACCGCGACCAAAGCGCAATCTGCAGGAAATGTACCCAGGAGCTGAACCCGAGGCGATTGATCTACTCACATGGATGCTCAAGATGAACCCGCGTAAGCGCGCAACGCTAGATGAGGCGCTGTCACACAAGTACTTGGCCAGTATTCGATCGCTGGAGGAAGAAATTGTGGCCCCAGGAACGATCCAGCTCGAGTTCGACGAGAAGAAGATGAATGTGACGGAGATCCGCCAGCGAATGGTGACCGAGATCCGATTCTACCACCCCAATGCCGGCATCAGCGCAGTAACGAAAGCTTCTACAAGAGGAGCACAGCCAAACGGAGTCGTTAGTAAGAAGGCGAAGCAAGGCTGAGAAACACTAGCAAGTACTTGAGACATACTAAAAAAAGAAAAGAAAAGTCTACTACGTCTGAGTGTCAGGGTTCTACTTTATGACGTTATTTCAATACCGTCGAATCGATATCTGTTAAACCACTGGATGAGTGGGCTGTAAAGTTTTAATGTATGCGGATCGCCCGCCAATCTCTCGACCACCCGCATTGCAATGACTTCTTCCGCATTCCATTGCTTGAATAAGTCCGTCATCTTTCTCCGATCTTGAAGCGCGGCGTTCAACGTCTTCGGGTCCACCAAGGCGTCCACCTGAGCTGCAATTCGGGCACCCTCCCGATATCCGTTATACGGCAGTACAAGGTATTTGTACTTAGCGAAAGTTAGTGCATCCGCCGACAGCCTGCTGATAACTTGTTCGGAGATTGCAGCATCTGCACTCCATCGCCTGAACAAAGCCTTCATTGTTGTGATATCTTTCATCGCTGCATCTAGCGTCGCTGGGTCCACTAACTCGTCAATTTTCGAGGCAACAGCGCCCCGTGTTCTTTCTTCGTCGCCTGCCACCTCGTCGTCTCTGAGAAGTCTACCCTCTGTCTCGATTGACCGAAAGAAGTTAGCTCGTCCTTGGGGTGCTTTCGTTGAGCTAGTATCGCATCTGCCGACAAGGATAGCTAAAGCCACTAGGAACACGTAGCCCACGCGCATTTTGTTGGTTGGCCTTGGCAGTTGGAAGTCGGTTCTGCGGGGAGCTGTAGACTGTACCTATGGCCTTGGTGTTTTTAAAGCAAATCTCAAGGTGTATCTTTCGTACACACTGAGCATGTCGGTGATCGATTACGCTACAATACGAAAGCCACCGTGCCTACGACGACTGCGCATTTGAAGCATTAATCACCAAGAGAAATGCATATGCAACAGAGGCTACAAGAACACTCCGGGGGATGAATAGATCAACCCCAGAGAGAGAGAGAGAGAGAGAGAGAGAGAGAGAGAGAGAGAGAGAGAAACGATTTTAGCGAGTGGGGATCGATCTGCACTCCTTGAGGACAGCTCCTTGATTCGTAACAAAATAATACTACTGCAATATCCAAGACAGCCGCGCTAGCTACCTCTTGGGTGGAGCATTTCTCGTGTCCACAATTTTTTTTGTGCCTACGAGCGTTTGAACGGCTGCATTCGTCCTCGCCCTTGCACCTCGCTCTTCAGCAGTTCCAGCATGTTGATGGCGGCGTTCACGTCTCGGTCCCAGTACATCGCCTGGCAGATCTTGTTCTCACAGAGAAGCACGACGTGGCAGTGGCGTGACTGGATCTCAGTCTGGAACCAATCACGTGGAAGGACTTTGCCCTTGACCTTCTTTCTCTTGGGGTTGTCGACGCTTTTGGGGAAGACTGGAGTAGGGCACTGGACGCTCGAAAGCGACTGGTGGCACTGCTAGCAGAGCTTGCTCGTCCTGAACTCGTCCATGGAAACCACCGTCGCGCGCTTCTGCAGTGCCTCTTTCAACCCCTTGACCGGGATCGGAGCGTGGCCCTTGATTCCATCTCTCCGGCTCCAATCACCGTAGGCTACACATGTGAGCCTACTCACAGTCGGTACGATCCGCCTAGCAAGCGTATCCACTGCAACCCGAGCCATACGCTTCTGGAAGAAGCGCCACTTCAGGTACGGTCGATCTTTGCAAAACTGTAGGAGGTACGCCGCGTGTTGCCAAAAGTACTCGAGTGGCTCCAGGTACTGTTCGTAGCTCGCTGTCTTGAATGAAGGCATACCGTCGATCACCTTATTGTACTCGGGAAACTTCATCTTTTGGCTCTCGTTCCAAGCGCGGAAGCGGTTGAACCCGGCAAGATGCCTGTACTCGCGAGTGGTGACGCTGACGATCTCTCTGCCCGGACGCTGCCCTAGGCGTAAAGCCTGTGGTCGACGAATCCACATGGGGAAGTTGCGCTTGCGTTTCTTCTACTTCTGTCGTCTTGGACGACGGACCCTTCTCTGCTTACGTCGACGAGGAGCCTGAGGTCGAAGGTGTTGTCGAGCTGCTGTACACACCGACCGCATGCCGGGATCGAGGCCGATGACTACGCCAGGCAGATAGCCAGCTGGAACGAGAGGATCGTCTTCTCCACGCTCCGGATCATCTTGCTTCGGTCGGTAGTACAGGATTGACGATTGTATCCATCGGTATTAATCTCGTTGGCAAAGCGATGGCTGGCGTGGTTGTACTTCGCTTCGACTGTCATCTGCCGGAATTCTGGCTTCGTCACAGACTCATCCGCTACAGTCTCGAAGTGATCAATCGCAAATGCTCGTCGCATGACAGTCCATCGGATAGCGCCAAAGGATGATCTAGAAATCTTCACTTGAGGCATGTTCCAGTCTTCCATTAGATTTCCTTCTCCACATTTGCAGATGCGAGACACGAATCCTGCCAACGTCTTTCCATTGATCACGATGTGAGCAGTTCTGAAAGCCCTAGACACCGGAAACAACGAGAACGCTCTCACCCCTTTCTCGTTTAGAACGGCCTCCATACGAGCTTCCACGACGCTCTGGAACTCCCATTCCGGCCGAATGTAGAACGCCAGGCCATTGTTCTTGATATTACTGGGCCAAGGAATCCACTACTCCCTCCACGCCTCCCCATCCGGGGTAAGCACGTCTCGCATTTGCAGCGCTTCGAGACAGTCAGTCTCCTCTACGTTGTAGCAAGCATACATGATCTGCCTGACGAGCTTTTGCTTGCCTTCTCTTCGACTGGGCTCAGGCCGTCTCCCGTCTTCCCGAACTTGATCAGTACGTACGCCCTCCACCGCTTCCGAAACTGTTCTCGAATCATCACGTCAACGTTGACCACTAGTTGCTCTCGCAAAGCCTGTTTCAACTCTGAGAAACCAGTCATATTTGCGACTTCGCGCAATCCTGCCTGACTTCGACCAACACGATAGATCTGAATGCTGTCCCAGAGAGAACGATTTTTGTGGCGATCATGTGCGACATACGTGTGGAGGCCACACCCGTGCAGCAATGGTCGAAAAACGTTTTGCCATAGTCTGGCAATGGAAGATCGTGCTCGAGGCAGCGCAGTGTGTGGAGGTTGACCAGGTGCCACGTCTCCATCTGGATCTGCTTCATGGCTAGCGTAGTGCACTTGATCTCTTTCACAAGACGGTTGTCTGCGCAAATCCTGTTCACCCGACAGACAACAGATCGAAGCACTTTGCTTTTCTTGTTCTCCTTCTTGCGAAGAGTACCAGCCGTCTTCGTTCTCGTTGCCTTCGGTACTACTTCTTTCATCTCTTTGTCACTGTCCGTCCCCTTCATTTCCTCGTCCCCGTCTGGGTCCTGCGTCTCGGCTACGATCTCGATGGGAGGGAGCCACTTGTCGGGGTCCTGAGTCTCCTCGACGACGTCCCAGTCGCCCGGGTAGTCGTCTCTCTTGCGCTTGCGACTCATGGTTGAAATGAGGAAGTGAGTAAAGAGATGAGATTGCAGCAACCATCTTTTTGAGCAAACGTGTGTATGGCCAAGTGCAACAACTGCGCTCAGCCATATCATATATCTGGCCATGTCTCGCTGGAAGGAGTCTACCGGTATCATTTTTGCGGTATTCGTAGTATTCACAGGCAGTTCATTTACATGTACAGCATTCACCGCTTAAACTGCTGGTACTCATCCGACTTTCCTACCCTTGGTCCAGTACGTGTATACCGACCAAGTGAACATATCGAGCGATAACATGGAACTGTTTGTCGCTGCTGATCGGGCAAAACTTTCGTATCAGATATAACAAAATAATACTGGGAATACCGTTAGGTATGGCAGCCCTCAAGGAATTAATTCCTCGGTACTGCGTAACTCGCTCGATGTTATCTCGCTCAACATTCAGCCGACCTCAGAATGTTCTCTTAGCGGCAGCTAAGAGCCAGCACCATCGGTTTAAAACCGAAAATTAAGTATACAGACAAATATAGCTGCATCTCAGTAAGGATACTTAGGGAGTTTTAAACGGACTTTCACAAACTATCGGGTACTTATTGAAGTTTCAATCATTCTCAGAAAGTTTCGTATACTTAAGAATGCTTTAATCATTTATCGAAGCTTGTAAATCGCTTGCATTCGAGAAGGCGCCAGCTCGAACGAGATAATGCTTCGTCGCTAAGGGCGCCGCAGGACCGGTGAATATATGTCAATGCGGACCATCTATGCCGGTAGGACCCCGCTGATCAGCAAGCTCTCTTAGGAGCCACGCAGAATCGCCACTAGAAGACGTTCTCTATCGTCTGCCACGTTAAGAACGCAGTGATGGAGCCCAATGTGGTGCTGACCGGTTCAGACGACAGTCATCTTGAGGCCTTAAAGGAGATGACAGCCTTGCTGGAGAGGTGTCAGAAGTTGCTGAACGAGTGCCTTGATAACAAGAAGAAGCCCTTGCCTCACTTTTACTTCGTGTCAAACTTGGCGCTGCTGGGGTCCTGCTGAACGGCAACAACCCCAAGAAGATCGTG